TTAAGATCACAGCCTGGAAAATCCTATGGAACAGTTCTACTCTGCCCTACGGGGTCACTATGAGTCAGAATGGACTTGGCAGCACCTAACAACAAATACCATCATTAAAATTACAACAAATGCTATCATTAGAATTAAATGCTGGTTGTTTGATTCAAGGTCTGGGTGTTTTTTGAAAAGATACAAATTATGGGTCCTCATTCCTACCCTTCCTTTCACACTGGTCACGTCTCCTCAACCCACCCAGCTGCCTCAAACTCTCATATTCCCATTTAGCCAAAAATAAATCACACCTTCTTGCCATGTCTTCAGACCACATCCTACCTCTTTCCTCCTGTTCGTTCACTGCAAAATTTCTTGGAAGAGTTTTCTGTACTTTCTGGCATCCATAATATTTTGCTTATATGCTCATAGTTAACCAAAACTTAGACACAGAGAGAAGCCACTCTTTATCTCTCATCATTGTTTTGAAATGGTAAAATAGCACCAGGAAAATTTCCTGTGATGGGAATCCTGTGGTATCACAGGGTTACCAGTCCTAGAAGCCTTAGTGGCTAGACTTAGCCATTGAATTCACAACCCTAAATGGGCAGCCTGGGGATTTGTACGGGATTTCAGCAGTGATAAGTAGCAGAAGTGAGATGAGTGAGGGAGCGAGTTTTGACTGGTACTCCTTAAAGCATGTGGTAACAAAGATACACTCCACAGATAAAATTCAGACAACTAAGTTAAGACCTTAGCTTACTTCTGTGTCCAATAGCATCATAGACTGAATGCAAGTTTTTAAGCTTTTAAAGGCACAATGCCTGTACAGGCATACCTCATTTTATTGTGTATGGTAGTTTAGGTTGTATGTCAACTTTGCTGGGCCTGGTTGAGTGGCTAGGCAGCTGGTTGTAGTTATTTCCCATGATGAGACTGGCAATCAATCCATGGTGGGATCTACCACAAGCAACTGAACAGCTGCTTTAGGGATGTAGTCTGCTTCGCACATATAAGAAGCAGTTTTGGGAATAGTCTCCAGCTTATGGCACACTTAAACCCTGCATGTAGCTGAGCCACATTGTTCAGCAGCCTGCCGTGCTCTGTCATCTTGGGACTTTTAATGGACTTGAATTAATGGCCTGCTATGTGGTCTGGTAATATCAGGACTGTGCCTTGTTACTTGTTGACCTTGGGTTTGTCAGCCTCAGCAGTCAGCAGCTGAGTGAAGAAAAGCCTCCAGCTTCATATGGGCTGAGAGCAGGAGGCAGAGCTGAAGCCCAAGATTGAGGGGCTTTCACCCAGCCCATAGAGCCTGGCACTTTGAACTCAGACTTAAAGCCTCCAACATGTAAGAAAAGAAACTCCTATTTGTTAAATATCTTCTGTTAGAGCAGCACTAGGTAACCAGAACATTATGCTTCTCAGATACTGTGTTTTCTACAAGTTGAAGTTTTGTGGCAACCTGGCATTGAGCAAGTATGTTGGAGCCATATTTCCAGCAGCATGTGCTCATTTTTCGCCTTTGTGTCACATTTTGGTAATTCTTAGAGTATTTCAAACTTTTTCATAATGTGATTGCACACCGAATAGACAACAGTATAGTGTAAACATAACTTTGATATGAACTGTTGTTGTTGTTATGTGCCGTCGAGTCAGCCCTGACTCATAGCGACCCCTCCTTGGGTTTCCAAGGCAGTATCACTACGGAAGTAGGATTGCCCAACCT